GTCCACATGGAGTTTAGTTTGAGAATATTTCTTACTGGTTACGCACTACTAAGGTCTGTCATCTTCTGATTGGGAATTATGTTTGTTCTTCCTAACATTGATGACTATCGCTTGACTAGTCTGCCTCAGTTTCTTCTAAATTATTCGCCAATTTACCCTCCAGCCTGGGAACAGGTCTGCAGCCTCTGTGACCACATTGCCTTAAGGTCCCAGGCACGCTGTGCTAATATTGATTCAGAGTGGCGTTGGTTTGATTTTTTTTGTTCTCACATGCATCTAAGTACAGTGAAAAGTTTTGTTTTGCAGGCAGATCATAACATACAAGGGCATACCTATCATAGGGTGATTGAACAGAGCGAGGGATACAAAGTTACAGCTGCACAAAGCAAGATCAACATTAGATTATGAAATTTGAGAGGTTCACTCAGCAGTTTAATAATCGTAGCAAAGAAGCTGTTCTTGAAGCTGTGGTACATATGTTTAAATTTTTGAATCTTCTGCTTGATGAAACAGGTTGGAAGAGATTATATCTGAGCTGGGATGGGTTTGTAATTATGTTGGCTGCCTTTCCAAGGCAGCAAGAAGTGGAAATAGAGTCAACAGATTGGAGGTTGGCTTACGTGATGATCTGGGCTGTGTTCACAGCTTTCTGAAGTTTCTTATGATGCTGGGCAGAGCAGTTGCTGTAGCAAGCTGAGATGCATCCAGATAGAATGCTTACCATCTGTAAAATTTGTGATTATTTCCAGTAATTATATCATCCTACCTCAGCTACTTCATTAGGGTTGGGATTTTCCTCGACTCTGTCAGTCAGCCCAACCCACATTCCTGATAACATCTGATCACCACCAACATTGGCTCAGATGAGGAATGAGAGTTATCTGATTGCAAAGCCCTACTGGTCTGCGCTAGATAAGCCAATGGCCTGATCCCAAAATGGAGGCCTTGGGATAACACTGTGAGACACAAGGGGACAATGATAGAACACTTCTGCCTCAAAATCTTCTCGGTGCTATATTAGAGAAAGTGATATGCCATTTATTTTAAACCAGTTTGTGCCCTGGCTGAAGTAGCAGAGAGAGGGGGATTTTAGATCATCATGGTGCTGTACATGAATGAAGGCGAAGTTGCCAAAACTGCACGGAAATATTTCTGGACGATTCACATAATACCATATCTCCAAGTGCCCAGTCCCACACACTCAGACTCCCCTCCATTTTGTTCCAAGCAACTTTTCAATTCTTGCTTTCTCTTTCACTTTTTATGCTTTTGGACGAAGGCTATTCTTCCTCTGGGTGCGTACCTTTTCATGTTTGCACTCATCCCACTACCATTCCCTTTGGCCTTGACCTTCATCACTTTTGCCATTTAATGGTAGGTTGGTAGGCCCAGGCTGAGCAGGATGACCAGCAGTCAGTGGGACGGAGCGGAGTGGAGTTGTTGGCAGGATTGGGACCTGGGGGGGTTACCAGTGGACTGGGGCCTGGTACGGGCAGCCTGTAACAGATCACAAGCCCAGCAGTGCAGGGACAGTGAGACCATGTGTGGAAAGCCCACAGTGTGGAGAGATTGCAGGCTAAAGAAGGACTGTAACATTTATCTTTTATTTCTTTATCTTCCTAATTTATACTATGAATAACTGTAATAGAACTTTTAGCTTTTCTCTTTATTTCTCTATTTTTATGCCTAATATATTTTAGCACCTAAGACTTGTAACTAGGTATTTTGTACCTAAGGTGTCACCATGTGTGGTGACGTTGTACACATTTCACAGTTGCCTGTACTTTGTACTTGAGTGCACATGACAATAAACCTAATTCCAATTCCACCCCATCACAGACCTTCCCTTGTGCTCTTGTCCTTAATCCCCCCTCTTAAATTTGCTCATAATCTATGATATTTCGTACAGTTTGTAATCCCGATGAGGAGCCACTGACCCGTTTTTATCTCCACAGATACTGCCACACCTTGCAGCATTTTTAGTCTATTTTTCAGATTTCTAGCCCTTGCAGTATTTTGCTTTTGAGTTATTGTTGTTTGGACAGTCTTGAATTAGAGTCGGTCCCTGAGCAGTCAGTGTGTCTGCTGGGATGTATGCTGATTTGGTTAACCTTCTCCTTGATCTTTCCATCTGAGACATTAATGAACAGAAAGATGAGCTTTGCACAGCGCATTTGCCTGGATAAGTGCAGCTTAACACTCCAGAAGCCTCTGGATGAAAGAGTTCACTGTTTGACACCCCTTGCTCCACCTTCAACATTCATTCCCTCCACCATCGATGTTCAGCGGCAGCAGTGTGTTCCATCTACAAGATGCACTGCAGCAACTCAACAAGGCTCCTCTGACAGCACATTCCAAACCTTTATCACCTCGAAGAACAAGGGCAGCAGATACATGGGAACACAATATCCTGCGAATTCCTCTCCAAATCCCACATAATCCTGACTTGAAATGTCTCACTGTTCCTTCACCATCACTGGGTCAAAATTCTGGAATTCCCTCCCTTACACCACGATGGGTCTACATACACTAAATGGACTGCAGTTGTTCACCATAATTACTGCAAGGTTTAATTTTTGCCTTTGTTCTTTCTTTATACGTTGTTCTTCAGATTCAGTACCTTGGTGCTTGTACCTAAAATGGTGCTTTGTCTGGCAACGTTATATACTTTTCACTATACCCTGTAATTTTGTACTTGAGTACAGTCAAGAACTCAAAATCAAAATCAATGCTCACCACCACCTCTCTGATGAACAATAAACAATGGCCCTACCAGCGGCACTCCCATCTAATGAAATAAATAACAACTGAAGAGTTGATAAGCACCTTTTTTTTCCCCAAGTTAGGGATAGCATTCTAGATATCTGCAAGACCTTTTGCGGTGTTAGATGTTTATAAAAGTGCTGGAAAAATTTTACTCCCGAACAAGGCGCAGCCCCTTTATAATTATAAAAAGAAGTGAAGACATTACAACGGTCATTTCTGTATTTTTGATTAATACGGCTTGGGTTTCCGTCAGATACTCTGGTTTTCCCCACGGTCCAAAGATGTGCAGGTTAGGTGGATTGGCCATGCTAAATTGTACATAATGTCCAGGGGTGTTCAGGCAATGTGGATTAGCCATGGGAAATGCAGGGTTACAGGGATAGGGTGGAGGACTAGGTCTAGGTCGGATGCTTTTCAGAGGGTCAGTGCAATCTTGATGGACCGAATAGCCTCTTTGCATACTGTAGAGATTGTATGATTCCCTATCCAAATAGGAACATCTTAAAGCCTCTGATTAGTCAAGGCATATACAGGGACCTGTCCTCTGCAGGGAAAAGGACCAGCTATGGATCCTCTTTTCAATTAAACACAGGAGTGGGGGACATACTTCCTTGGTGCTTTCTCAAAACCTGATGAAGGGTGTAAACATGAAACGTCAACTTTCCTGCCCCTCTGATGCTGCCGAATGTGCTGTCTTCCTCCAGCTCAACACTGTGTTGATACTAGAGTACTGTATATAGTTTTGATCCCTGTATTTAAAAAAGGATTTATTGGTATTGGAGGCAATTCAAAAGAAATTCTCAACGCTGAATCCTGGAATGTTGGAATTGACTTATCAAGAGCAGCTAACCAGGTTGGGCATTTATTCATTACAGTTCAGATGAATAAAGGGGTGATCTTAATGAAACATTCACAACTCTGAGGGGGCTTGACAAGATAGATACTGAGAAGATGTTTCCACTGGTGGGGAAATCTTGAACTAAGGAACATAGTTATAGAACAAAGGGAAACACATTTAAAACCAAAAAAGCACAATGACATCTCAACTTCCTCAGGAAGCTGAGGACATTTAGCATGCCCACAAGGACCCTTACTGATTTTTATAGATGCATCATAGAAAGCATCCTATGTGGATGCATCACAGTATGATATGGCAACTGCTCTGCCCAAGACCACAAGAAACTCCAGACAATTGTGAAGACAGCTCAATCCATCAAGTAAAACAGCCTCCCATCCACTGACTTATCTACACTTCCTACTGCACCAGGAAAGCAACCAGCATAATCAAAGACCCCTCCCACCCCAGTTATACTCTCTTCCACCCTCTTGCATTGGACAAAAGATCCAGAAGTTTGACTACTCACATGAACAGATTCAAGACCAGCTTCTTCCATGCTGTTATCAGACTTTTGAATGGACTTCTCAAATATTAATTCTGATCTCTCCCTCTCTGCACCTTCTCTGCAGCTTTAACACTATATTCTGCACTCGGTCCTGCTACTCTAACGCACTTTGTATGGTACAATCTGCATGCATAGCACCCAAAACAACACTTTTCCCTGTACCTCCGTACAAGTGACAATAGTAAATCAAATTCAAACTCAAGATGTGAAGGAATTTCTTCCTCCAGAGAACAGGGAATGTTTGAAATTCACTACCTCAGAGTTGTGGAGGCTAGATCATTATGTTATTTAAGAAGGACAGATTTTTGAAATACTAGGGAGCGAAGGGCTATGCTGAGCACAAAAGGGGAGTTGAGGCCTTTAACTCTCTTGTTTAATCGAGAGTCAGGCTTGATGGCTGAATGGTCTACTCCAGTTGTTATTTCTATGTTCTCGAGCTGAAAGTGAAACGTAATTCACACACTCTGACACCCTGGGGAATATTTCACACTTCAATGTTGCATATGGAACAGACATTACACTTTGACCTTTTGTTCCAATCTGAAGTGAAACTGTGCGCATTTCTATAGTGCCTTTAAGGTAGAATGCTTCGCATGCTTCACAGGAATTATAAAAAGATGATGCTGTAACAAAAAAGGGCAAAAAAAATTGGTTGAAGATTTTAAAGAGGAGAGAAACAAGGAAGAGGCGGAATATTTTGAGTAGAGAATTCCATACATTAAGACTTAAGACAGCTGATGACAAGAGGGAGATGAGTCTGGGAGGTTGAGGGAGAATTGTCAAGAGTAAAGACATTAAGTGAAGGAGTTGAAGGAATTTCTTTAAACTTACCAGCAGGTTAACCGTGCAGCTCATACGGTTCCCCTTGCTTTCGTCACTCATCACTGACCTATAATCCAGCAGTTTCTCCAGGAGACCCTTTACCAGGTGGACGAAATGTTGCACTGATTTGGCAATAGCTGGGTGCTCTTCAGCACACTTCAGGATGCTAAAAGATAGAGTCACAAGATGTCACATGTACAGTGATTGGAAGTGATTGGAAACCTCTCTCTCTCTCTCTCCTCCTCTCGGTCTTGTTGCTGATTATTTTTGATTCATTGGCAGTCTCAGGATGTGGTGGGCAGGTGTAGTGATAAGATTAAACCAAATTCATTCCAGCTCATGGCCACCTCTAAGCCCACTCCCTGTGCCACAAAATCAGTCAGTGGAGTGAAAGTGCTCAGGTCAATGAGGGGATGACATTGGTTTCCAAGTGTGCAGGAGCTGAATTTACAGAACCTCATGCAATGTTTTATGCAATTTCTAACCATGATCCCAACTCTTTCCATTGTGCCTGTTTACATCATCAGATGTAACATTCTTAGATTGGACTGTTAGTGGGTGAGACGGGGTCTTTCTTAACTGACACTGCGGGGAACACTGGAGAGACCACTTGACGGTCCACCTAAGTTGTATACCCCTCCTCTTACGCCTATAAGAAGGTTCACCTTGCCTTTCAAGCCTTGGCTTCTACCCCATCCCCAACTGCTGATCCCCAAACACAAAGTTTCCATCATTCCACAGCCGATGTTTTCATCGCTTGAGTGTGGTACCAGCAGTCACCAATGCCCCTTCAGGTACTGGAGAAAACAGCTAGCCTCTGGTTAACCGGCAGCTCTGAGGTGGGAATTCTTTACCTTGAGGGATGGAAATCTAGCTGCCAGCCAACTAACGGGCAAAACGATATCAGGGCAACTGCCGGTCTCCTGGGTGCACCCCCACTCATAAATGTTTTAGCTGAGGGGAGTGGTGGTGTGTAAGAGACCAAAGCAACCATACAACTCAAAACAAAGAGTTATTTATGAAACAGAAGGAGGCCATTCAGCCCATTAAGTCCATTTCAGCTTCCATGGAGCCATCCAGTGAGTCCTACTCCTTCAGTCTAGCCCCGTAGCACTGCAAGTTTCTTTCCCCTCCAATTGTCCATCCACTTTCCTTTTAAAATCATTGTATCTGCTTCCACCCTCCTGAAATCAGTGGATTCCAGGTCATTACCACTTGCTGTGCAATATAGGTGACCTGTGAATCCCTTTTGTATCTCTTGCCTGGAACTTTACATTTGTATTTTCCTCCAAACGCCTGAACCATCAACAATCAGAGGTGTTTTCACTTATCTAAGCCTGTTATAGTCTTGTCTGCCTCTGTCAAATCTCATCTCAAGCCCTTTCATTCAAAAAAGAATAAAGCCCAGTGTGAGAATGCTGTGGCTTTAAGAGGTTATTTTGGCCTGTTTTTTTTTTGAAGAGAGGTTTTAAGACTGAGGTGCTGAGCCGCCTACTTGGAGAGCCAATAAAGTAAATCGCTTGTGAGGCCTTGGTTTTTTTTTAAAGGTAGAACAATAGAAGCATCCTTGATGGGTGTGGCCAGCTCTCACAGCCTAGTCCTTTTTTTTAGTTTTTACGTTTAGCTTTAAACAGTTTCTGTTATGGGCTGGAAGAAGTGGAAGCTATTTTTCCCTTTCTTGATTACAGCCAAAAGCTGTGGGTTCTCTTCCTAGGCTACTGGAACGTATATGAGACAAATTCTGTTTTCTGAATTTGCCTTTTTGCCAGAGGGTGTATTTGTGTGATGTTACTACATTGGAACAGTTAATTAGTAATAGTTACTGTATCTATTATTCTGTTCAGTTTTCCAATACGGTTATGTTATTCTAAATTCCTCTTTCTTTGGTTGGATTTTAACTGGAGTGTTTAAATAACTTGTGTTTTACTTAACATTGAGTAGCTTGACCAGTCACATTGCAACTGCAACGCAGCACTTTACATTTGTCTTAAAAATAAGAAAGGGTTAGGGTCTGGGCTATGTTCATAAAATATTTTGGGTTGGGGGGGTGGATACTTGCGTGGTCTGTAACACCAGCCTTTCCGATTTAAACTTAAATCTAAGGTGCTCCATTGCTGGAATCACTCCTTAAATTTCCTTTGAATCCTCTTCACATCCTTTCTGAAGTATGGTGAGTGAAACTGGACAAAATACTCTCGTCGGGCTTCGTCAGAGTACAGCATAACTTCCCTGTAAATTGTTATTTTTTATTTGCTGTGGATTATTTATTAGGACTAAATGCATTTGAATTTGAAAAAGATGCCCTTTGACTGACGCAAAAGGCTTCCAAAGACCTCTGCATCACAGCGAACCTGCCGCCTCAACATCCCATTGCCGTCTGTGCACTCCCCAACCCCCATTACCACCTCCACCACAACCCTTCCCTTCCCTCCCTACCTGAAACTAAACCCCCAGTGAGCAGATCCAGAAGTTGGGAAATGGAAATTGGAGATGAGGTTAGAAGGTCAACAATACAGGACAATGGTCAGAACGTAGGAAACCAGGACTGATGTAGGAACCTTGGGGTGGGGGTGAGCATTGTGAGTGAGGAAGGAGGTATTAGTAAGCAGGACCTAAAGGATCAGCAATCAGGTGATGGATTTCCACCATGAATTTGCTCCAAGTTGTTCTTGGAATCTATAGTTTTGAATCAAGTCCATAGCCACTTCAGTAACCTCCTCCACAAGTCTCACCCTTCGAAAAAAATTAATTTGTAGCCTACCCCTTTCATTCTCTCCCTCCTTTCTATTCTGTGACTGAATGCTGCCTTTCAACTTTTGTTTTGTTTATTTACAGGACGAGGGCATCACTGGCTAGGCCAGCATTTATTGCCCAGAGAGCACTTTAGAGTCCAGAGTCACACATAGTTTCCTCCTCTAAAGGGCATTAATGAAACAAATGTGTTTTCCCCAACTATCAACATGATCACTATTAGACACTTATTTCCAGATATTTATTGGATTCAAATTCCACCACCTATCATGGCAGGATTCGAACTCAAGTTCCCAGAGCATTCCCTAGATTTGTGGATTGTCCAGTGACTATCTGCTCCAGTGATAATCTAATCCATTTCCTCCTGCCTTTGTGACAAGTATCTAAAGACATACATGTTGTGGAGTACTGCAATGCTTCATTCTTGTTCTGTTTAGGAACTTGTGATTCTGATTCATTCTGTATTCATCTCCTCAATGTATTCTTTATTTGCTTTGTGTATATCAGTTGAAATTCTAAATTGAATGCAATCTTACATCTTCTGGAAGAGCTCCATATACTGCTCATCACCGCATCCTCCCTCCACCGTGTGATCTAACTTCAGGATTATTTCATCTTCAAACTGTTAAAAAGATCATTAATTATTCAAGAGATCTGAAAAGTTCACAGACTAAAGCACAGGATGAACAATGTTTGCGAAGCTACTGCCAGAAAGATTGAAAACACTCCAGATATTGTAATATAGATATAATATTCATAATCAAACAGAAAATGTAATCAAATGTTGCATTTCCTACTATCTCTCCTTTCTGTCATAGCAGCTCCTTTTGCTTTGGTTCCCAGTGTTTGTACCTATAAGGCCCTGACTGTCACTCCCACAGTGCCTTATTAAGTCGTTCTTAAGCAAGCAGGATATTGTTTGGCGTGAATATCTGTAAAAGACCATTTTGTTTATCTTTGCTCATTCAATAAGCACAGACCTACAGCTTCCCAGCTCATATTCCTGACTCAAGCAGAGGTTTCAGCCTTGCGAAATAGAATCCTGTTTTCCTCAGTGTCCCTACAACACACCCTCCCAACTCCCCGCCCGCTCCCCCCCATCCCCACTCCCCTTAACTCTGGGCATCTTTGTCTTATTGTTTGGGTTTATTTAACAGAGTCAAAGAAATTACAGAAAGAGTCCATTTGGCCCATCTTCACTTGGCAATTGGAGCTAACTCTTAAATTGGCATTTCCCTGCTCATTATCCTTCCTTTTCAAATAATTATTGCAAATATCATTTCTGCTTCTGTAATTGCATGAGCTTTACAATTCTGTGTTGTTATAACTCTGTGAGCATTGAATTCCTTCCAAATCCTTTTTCATTTTTTCTCTGCATTGTGCAGTTTTTAATTATTTCATGAAATATGGATGGTGCTAGCTAGGCCAGTATTTATTGCCCATCTCAAATTGCCCTTGAAAAGATAGTGGTGGGCTGCCTTCTTGAATTATTGCAGTCCCATTTGGTATACAGACACCCAGAATGCTTTTAGGAACAGATTGCCAGGATTTTGACCCAGTGCCACTATATGAACAATGGTACTTTTCAAAGTCAGGATGGTGAGTGGCTTGGAGGTGAACTTGCAGGCGCTGGTGTTCCCATGTATCTGCTGCCCTTGTCCTTCTAGTTGGTGGAGATTGCAGAGTTTGGGAGGTGCTGTTAAAGGAGCCTCGGTGAGTTACTGCAGTGCACCTTGTGCATGTAGCAATGCTGCTACAGGTAGTGGACAGAATGTATATCCCAGATCATGTAGTTACAGATTGCTGAATACAATTCTGTTTCTCCTGATCACCCATAACACCTCTTGGATGACCAGTCTTCAATTGCTAGTTCTGTTCAAAATATGTCCCATTCAGGACTTGAACATGATGGAAGAATACTCAATGTGAAGACTAGACTTTGCCTCCACAGGGAATGAGCAGGGGTCACTCTTACCAATACTGAAATAGATAGACACATCTGCTACTGATAGGTTGGTGAGGAGGAGGTCAAGGACATTCTCCCCTCTTGTTGGTTCCCTCACCACCTGCCATAGCCTAAGCCTAACAGCTACGTCCTTTAGGACATGGTCGGTAATGATGCTACCAAGCCACTTTTGGTAACCAACATTTAAGTACCCCACCCAGAGTACATTTTATGCTAGTGCCAAACTCAGGGATTTCCCCCATATGGTGTTCAATATGAAGGAGTACTGATTCATCAGCTGAAGGAGGGCTTAGGTGATCATCAGCCAGCAGTTCCCCTGCTTGTCTTTCACGTAATGTCATGAGCCATCATGAGATCTAGGGACAATGTTGAGGAGTCCCAGGGCAACTGTGTCCCCTTTGTATACCACTGTGCTGCCAGATTTGGTGTGCCCAACCTGTCAGTGAAATAGAATGGTTATGGTAGTGTCTGGGACATTGTCTCTAAGTTATGATTCCATTAATGTGATTATATCAGGCTGTTGCTTCACTAATCTTGGAAAAGCTCTCCCTATTTTCCATAAGGCCTCAGATGTTACTGAAGAGGACATTGTAACATTTACAAAGCTGGATTTGCCATTGTAGTTTCTCATGCATATATCAATACTGGGCAGTCTGCGTAGTTTACTTTTTTTATTGACCAATCCACAGTAGTTTGATAAAACTGAGCAGCTTGCTCAACAATTTCAGACATCAGTTAAAAAGTAAAAAAAAATTCAAGCATATTGCCAAGAATCTGAAGTCACATATAGGTCAGACCATAGGTAAGGACAACAGACTTCATGCTTGTTAAAGAGCATTAGAGAATCAACTGGGACTTGAAAGCAATCAACAATGGTTTTATGCTCGTAATTTAATACTGGCTTTTAAGTTTAGCCATGATGGGTTAGTAGCCATATCGCCAGAGCACTCTCCTAAACCTCTGGATTGCTAGTCCAGAGACATTATCGCTATACAAGGCTATGCCCTCTTGTCCCTGAGACAAGAATATATTTATTGGAATCTGCTAAACATCTTTCTTCCAAAGATTATAATGTAGGATTCTGAATTTGCCTTTCTCAACACTGCTTATAGTTTTCACATACTTGCATCGGAATCCCTCTCGGTCACTCTTTTCAAATTTCTCCAACCATGTCAATTACGCTGGATGGGTTGAGGAAGAACACTCTGATGACAATGTTTGTCTGCTGACATCGAGTGTCAGCAACTAGCAGTAAGACAACCAAGGTGTCAAACAAGAACAAGAGAGAATAATGCATATTTCGCCAGATGGGGATGCGATCCCCAGATTAGGACAAGTCGTCAAATCTGCACAGTGTTGTATTGATGCTTTTGTTGATATTATCAATTCTTTTTTTCCTGTTTGTATAACTGTTGAAAAACATGAAGGAAGCAACTTAGGAACAAGTTGTGCTGTTCCGATGCAAGTGTAGGAAATGATTGGCAAGTCAAAGTGAGCCCATTTGACCTGGAACCTGGCAGACACCTCACCTTTCCTGTCCTGATGAGGTCGTCGAACCTCTTATAATGTTGTACTATCAATGTGTTCGCATTGACAAGAGGCCGTTCAAGTGTTCTCATTGTGGGTTCTGGCAACTTATTGACCACAAACAAATTTACACTGGGGAAAGGCTGTTCACCTGTGGCAAGTTGATGTAAAATTGACTTGAAAGCAGGAGATAGAGGGTGATGGTAGTGAGTTGCTTTACAGGCTGGAAGACCTGTGACCAGCAGTGTGCTACAAGGATCAGTGCGGGGTCCACTGCTTCTCATCATTTGTACAAATGATTTGGGTGGGAATGTAGGAGATATGGTGAGCAAGTTTGCAGATGACTCCAAAATGATGGCATAGTGGACAATGAAGAAAATTATTTCAGAAAAGAACAAAACCTTGATCAGATGGGCGAATGGGCCAAGGGGTGGCAGATGAAGTTTAATTTAGAGGTGTTGCATTTTGGTAAGGCAAATCATGGCAGGACTTATGCAGTTAATGGTAGGGTCCTGGGGAGTGTTGCTGAACAAAGAAACCTTGAGGTGCACTTTCATACTTCCTTGAAAGTGGAGTCACAGGTAGACAGGGTGGTGAAGAAGGCATTTGGTACGCTTGCCTTTGTTGTTCAGTGCATTGAGTATAGGAGTTGGGACGTCATGTTGCAATTGTACACTACTTTGTAAGGCCACTTTTAGCATACTATGTACAATTTTAGTTGTCCTTCTATAGGAAGGATCTTGTTAAACTTGAGAGGGTGCAGAAAAGATTTACGAGGATGTTGCCAGGATTGGAGGGTTTGAGCTGTAGGGAGAGGCTGAATTGGCTGGGGCATTTTTTTCCTGGAGCATCAGAGGCTGAGGGGTGATGTTATAGAGGTTTATAAAATCATGAGGAGCATGGATAGGGTGAATAGCCAAGGTCTTTTTCCAAGGTTGGGAATTTCAAACCAGAGGGCATAGGTTTAAGGTGAGAGGGGAAAGATTTAAAAGGGACTTAAGGGGCAACTTTTTCATTCAGAGGTTGGTGCATGTATGGAGCGAGCTGCCAGAGGAAATGGTGGAGGTGGTGCAATTACAACAGTTAAAAGGCATCTGGATGGGTACATGAATAGAAAGGGTTTAGAGGGATAGGTCAGATTAGGACATATATTGTTGATGCGGATGAGTTGAACTGAAGGGTCTGTTTCCATGCTGTATGACTCTATGACACTATGATTCCGCTTTGATCTGGATGCTTGGAATCAGGGTATAGCCAGGGTATAACCTGGCAAAATTCGGTTGTTAAAATGACATCCTGTTGTGTAAAAACTGAAAGAACTGCGGATGCTGTAAATCAGGAACAAAAACAAAGTTGCTGGAAAAGCTCAGCAGGTCTGGTAGCATCTGTGAAAGAGAAAATAGAGTTAATGTTTCACCGGACCCGAAACATAGCAGATGCTGCCAGACCTGTTGAGCTTTTCCAGCAACTTTGTTTTTGATCTTGTTGTGTAGTTTGGTGGGCAGAACTCCCAAAGAGTGAACAGGAATACAACTCACATCTTGGCTGAACATGTACTCACCTGTCATCACAGAGAGACTTTTGAGTGCATTGGGAAGAAGTGCTGCTTGTTTCCTTGCATAAGTGACGTAAGATATGATCTTTGAGGGGAGATAATGGTGTAGTGGTAAAGTCATTTGATTAGTAATCCAGTCTAATGTTCTTGGGAAATGGGTTCAAATCTCACCATGCCTGGATGAAATATGAATCCAATAAAATGTTGATGGCAACTACTGTTAATTGTCAAGAAGAATACTAATACACTTTTGGAAAGGGGAAATCTGCTATCCTTGCCCAATTCATCCTACACATGATTCCCTTCAGAAACAATGATCCTGCTATTGGAAAATCCAGACTCATTCTAGATCATTCGAAGCCTAAGGCACCTTTATTTATTTTCAAAGGATGAATGGTGTGGGAGTGGGTGCTATTTGGCTCATAAGAGCCTATAATTTTAAAAGGACCCATAAGTAAAAAGCAAAATGGATATGGTCTCAAAACCAAACCTTCTCATTTGGTTGCTGTCTAAAGCCAATGCACATAGCCCCAAGTCAATTCCAATTTGTGCCCTTCATCCTTTGAAGATGCTGATTTGTAGAAGGCTATGTTTTTCTGCACTTTACTCTATCCTTGTCAAGTATTACAAGTGCTTATTCACATTATATAATTAGTGTAAGTCTACACACTGCTGTTCTCTCTGCTTGGCTGCAGAAATCCAAGGCTCTAATTTGCATTGAAATGCAAGTGAAAGAGTGACCATTCGCAGTGAACTAAATTAATCCGGATTTCTGAACCAAAGACGGCTGTGGAAAAACAGCAACACCCAGGTTGTATTTGGAGGGGGCCGGTGGGAAGGTGGAATACCACATTAGAAGATATTCCACTGCTTGGTGCAAACTTCCGTTTCATGGCCTCAATCACTGGGAAGGTGCCAAAAGCAGGATTTTCATGAGCAGACTGACCTTTCTCTCTAGAATGCAATAAACGAAAGCAGAGCAGGTTCAACAGTAAATTTCAAAGACGTTATGTATTTGGAAATTAAATATTGACAAGAGTATGGGGAAAGGACTAACTGAACAGTTAGTTCAAAGAGCTGGTAGAGGCAATGATGGGCCTAATGTCCTCTTTCTGTGCTGTAAGATTCTATGGCACTATCTCTTCCTGCTTTCAAACAATGCTCATTTGATGTGTGTTCATTGGCGCACAGTATCATCCATCACTAAGAACCCACATCCACAAGCACAGCTATTTAAAGCACAAGATCTTGCTTATCCAGCTGATTCCAATGTATTATACCTTGCTATAAAATTTCAACAGACAGGTATTACATGATCACTACCTCCATGCTACCTCCTGCCTTTGGTTTCTGTTTTCCAAACAAAAGTTCTTGGCAAACATGGACGTCAAACTACCTTGTGGCCTTTAACTATCTCCGGAAATACTGTATCATGCAGGATAAGAAAGGACACATATCTTCCTTCATACCTTCCTGAACTTGTTGAACATGGCGTACTCGCATAGCATCATGTCAAAGAAGATTGGGATCGTGGCTTTGCGGAGCTCAATCTCTGGGATCAGGGTCATTTCTAGGATTGGTCCAACCATTTCTGGGATGAAGTGGATCTTGTTTTGAGCTGTCAGTCAACACATATCAATGAAATCTGGTTAGAAAAAGGTGCCTGGAAATATTCATCACCACGAGACTAACATCAATCATAGAATCCCGACAGTGTGAATGTAGGCCATTCGGCCCATCGAGTCCAAACTGAACCCACCCAGATTCACCCCACGACCCTATCCCTGTATTTCCCATAGCTAATCCACCTAACCTACACATCCCTGGACACTGCGGGGCAATTTAGCATGGCCAATCCACATAGCCTGCACATCTTTGGGCCATGGGAGGAACTAAGAGCACCCAGAGGACATGCAGACATGGGGACAAGGTGCAAACTCCACACAGACAGTCTCCTGAGGGTGGAAATGAACCCTAGCCCCTGGCACTGTGAGGCAACAGTGCTAACCACTGAGCCACTGTGCCCCCTCAAAATCAGTGACTTTGGCTTTATTGTTTGTCACAACTAACTTGCATCATTTATACAATGCTTTTGTTTCCAATTTTCCTCCCTCCTCTTCTGAAGACGCTCACTACGTCCTTTGAGAGCTAGTCACCATTCAATAATCCGTCCGAGTAATTACACTTTGTATGTGTTCGTAGATGAAGGGTCAGCATGGGAGCATGACAGCAGATCTGCAGCCTGTTCTCCTGTCAGCCCCTCCAACATAATGTGCTGAAAAAATGAACAGCTACTGACTGAAGTGGAAATTTGTCCCAACTGGACGATGGTTAGAGGTGGGTCATTTGGTGCCAATGGGTAGTGATCATGGGCAAGAACATCAATCCCATTCGTTATGACCAGGACTGGGAGCTCTAACTGATCTATTTTTCTCACCCTTTCTTAGCCAAATCCCAATGGCATTCAGACCATCCTAGAACAGTGACATTACCATCTTAGAACTAGGAATCACAGCCTAAAGATATGGGTAGGCAATTTACGATCAAAATGAGGTAGAATCTCTTCACCCAGAGAGTGGAGAGCCTGTGGAATTCATTGTCGCAAAAGTGACTGCAGCCAAACATTGAATGTTTTCAAGAAGGTGGCAAATCTAGCTCTTAGGGCTACTGGGGTCAAAAGTTATGGGGAGGGAGCAGGAACACGATACTGAGTTGGATGATCAGCCCTGATTATGCTGAATGGCAGAGCAGGCTTGAAGGGCCGAATGGCATACACCTGTTTTCCATGTCCTGCTTGGTTCCACAGAGACAAAGGATATGGGTGGAGTTTTTGTCGCTCAGTACCACAAGGAGTGGAGCGTGTATCAACTGGGTCCATGGGGATCTGTTTAATCTGCAGTGACAGGCAATGCACATTGAAAATCCACCTTATTCAAAGCAACAAGGAAAACATATTTCACTCACCAAGCTTGTACCACATATCACGAATGTTGAATCCGATTAGGCGCCTCATATCCCCATATCTGAAAGGAATGGAGTGTTTTCATTCACTTTATTGCATAGCTGTTAAAATTGTAATTAATGTACTTTTGACACGTTATCTCATTATTGCTATCACTTCCACTTCATGTTCTTCACCTTCCTTTCGGATGGCAAAGTGTCTTGTGATGTTAATGCATTCACTGATGATAAGTTTTCATACTTTCCAAGTCTCAAGATAAGAGGTCATTCATTTAGATAAGAAAAGAGAGCAGATCTCTTCACTCCGAGAGTAATGAATCCTTGGAATTCTCAGCATTTGAGGAATGGGAGTGCTCAGTAGCTGTGAATAGTCAAAACTGAGAAACAAGGGATATCTTGGATACAAACAGGAATCAAGAGAAATGGTGAGAGAGAAAGTGGAGTTGGTGGAGACATTCAGAAAAGTTTTATGAAACTGCGTATTAAGCGCTAGTGATCCCTTGGCCTGCTCCTGCTCCTACTTCTGTTCATGCTCCCATTTCTTATATCCACAGCTTTCACATTCTCCTCTACCACAGGAGGCACTGTAGTTAAGAAGCACCAACGCTATGACAACAAGGATCATTCACATCAGGGTGATTTCTGAAGGTCATTCTCAGCCTCTAGGGATTCTGCATCTGCATCCAAAAGGGGAAATGATTAAGTTCCTTGGATCCTGAGAAGCTGACTTCAGGAGGCTGCATAAAGAGGGATGTGAATATGAAATTGCAAGTGCTGTTGGGCTTTGCTACAGCAGTCAACCTTGTTGCTGTGGCAGCTCTCTGGCCTCAGAATCAGAAAGCTGTGGGTTCAAGTCTCACTCCAGTCATTTCGGTCACAATCTGATACATTCTCAGCAGTACTGTCTTTCAGCTCAGATGCTAAACTGAGGGCCTGCCTGTCTCCAGGGTAAAAGATTCCATAGCAACATTTTAAGATGAAATTCTTACCAGTGTTAATCCCTCACTAAAGCCGATAGTCTCGTCATTGTAGCATTGCTGTTTTGGGACCCGTTTGCAAATTGGTTGCTACATTTCCTCCATTATAATAAGACAATATTTCATTAAATGCATTGCATTTGGTCATCCTGAACTGTGAGAGGTGCGGTACAATGCAAATCTTCCTTCCTTTTTTCTCCACTCATTAATAAGCTGTCAGATATATTAGGATTAAGACATTCTGTGTGACATTCAATCGATTTAATAAAGGGAGAGCCAAACAGAACTGCCTGAGCATTGCACCATGTACTACCCTTACACATGAAACTTGGAGCTGGAAGACTTAATTTCTAACATCCATCGCAAATGACACACTGCAAGGAGATTGAGCTGTTTAAATCGTTCCCTTCCGAGGACAGAGAGTTTGACTGACGTTACGTTAACAGCTTTCACGTCATTAGGAAAATATTAATGCTGTTAAATTCCAACCTGAAGGCCCTGAGGTGAGTTCAAAAGACAATTAAGGTGCAGCTCTAGTACACTTTTAAAAAATATCGACACAGCTAAGGGTGAAATATGAATGATGTGAAACAGATTATGGAACAGTGTAACTGGTGCAAATTCTGTGAATTCACAACTCATGACATCACTCAATCTCCAAATTTCAGTTAACTTGCTGTTATCTTTTCCAACAAGATCCAGCTGAACCATTCATTAGGTGGATAATTATCATCCCATTTACAGCTTCAAGCAGCATGGCGTTAATTGAATTGAAGTATTAAATACTCCATGGGCAAGATCATGGAGCAGCTTCCGAAGCCTAGAAACAGCACTGGCCAAGATATAGTTGTGTTGTTTTGCAAAAGGATGAATATCCTCAAGTATTTTGTTTTGATTACCTATTCAGGGGACAAAAACGTAACATCAAACGTGATCTGGAGAGAGAAGGTCAGGAAATGATTTGATGCAAGAATGAAAATGTTAGATGTTAAAGAACAACGAACTGATTTAGATCGGAAATGAAGGGCTAACGTATGAAAGGGTTAGGGTAAGGATTAGGCTTAGGATTCGGGTTCGGGTTCAGGTTAGGGCTATATGAGTGGTTGAGTACAGAGGGTGGAGGATTGGTGTTCAATTCTGGGAATATTAAAATGGTCCATTCAGAGGTGACAAAGGTAATCAATCCTCCAATAAGTCAACAGGAGTATGAAGAACTTTTCAAACCTCTAGATCTGCAATATGAAAATAGGGCAAACCAGCAAGTAAGAAATATCATTGTAGATGGGTTTAAGTTCCTCAGGAATTATGGGCTAGATTGGGTTAATGTACATTTTGGATTAACCGCTGATAGACTGCGTAGGCTTCATTTTGTCAGAAGAGTTGGATCTGAATGACTTTTTCTTATTCTGTTGTTTCTTCACTTTTGATTCTAAAGGATCATAGTTGGTACTGAATAATAAAACATTAGTGAACAACACTCACTTGTTCAAGATTTTCATGCACTTTGCCTGAGAAAAATGTTCCAGTTGCAGCGAATCTTGGGTAATAAATTTTACTGCCAGATGGAAGTAATTATTCCATAACTAGTGACAAAAACATTTAAAAATTACACAGAGACATAATTAAATTTTACTGCATATCAAAACCATCACTATTTAAATAACATCTCAACATTATAGCTGCGCCTAGTGTAAATTATTCAGAAGAAAGTTGATTCTTTTTTCCAACAATACCATAAAAATAATATTTGTAAGCTTCTAGCAACATAATTGTCATGATATTTCCTGTTTATATTTGTTGTGGACATTTTTTTTTACTTTTTACTGTTCCCAGATTTATCATTTCATAATGAGCTGGCATAAAACAGGGGACAACAGATGTCCAGAGATCGGAGTCAAGGAATTGCTGGGAACAAAGACTGGAAGAGTCGATGAGTCAACCTCTTCAGCTTTGTCAATCACATAATTGAATCAAGGATGATTTGAAACTTAACATCATGTGTTGCCTTGGTTCCATATCCTTTAACACTCCAAGCTCTCAAAGATCTACAAATCTCAGTTCTGAAATTCTTAATTGGTCTGACCCAATAGCTATTATGGATAAAGTTCTACACTCCACCATCCTTTGTATTAAGAAGGGCTTCTTGACAACACATTTAGATAGTGTAGGGCTGATCTTCAGGATAATTCCCCTTGTAATGAATTCCCCCATCAGAGGGAATCATTCCCCTGTGTCTATCCTCCGTCCTGCAATCATCCTTGGCACTGCAATTAGATCACCCCTTCCTCAAAGAAAAACAAAACCGTCCATAGAAACTATACTCAGAATTTAATGCTTTTAACCCATATTTTACTGTGGTAATTTGATTTTGCACTTCCTAAGTCTGATGCCTTGATGCTTTAGATGCAATGTTAGAGCTGAATGCAGTCCTCTAAATAGTGTTTAATCTGAAATCAACACTACAATCTTGTAATTTCCATCCTTTGTGTTGCAAGCTCCCTTCTTGGGATGAGGATAAACATCAAATAGCCTTCTTTAATAGCTTTGAATACCAGTCCACTATTTAAGGGTGAGGTGATAGTGGTATCATCACTGGACTAGTCTTCCAGAGATCCAGGTAATGCACTGGGGATCAGCTGCAAATACCACACTGCAAATGATATTCGATTAAAACAGAAACATGGAAATTAAAAGCCTGTTGATGACTATGAGACCGTTGCTGATTGTCAGGAAAAATCTTTCTGGTACACAAATGCCTCTCAGGGAAGGAAATCTGCCATCTTTACCTGGAATATATCCCAGAAAGGAGGAAAAATTCCAAAAGAGAGAGATAAACCAATTTTAACTAACTAAGGAAGTTAAGGTGAGTGTGAAGTTGAAAGCAAAAGGGCTTAAGGAGACAGAAGTCAGTGATAGCCTTGAAGTCTGGGATAAATTCAAAATCTAGCAAAGGAGGACTCAAAAGATAATAAAGAGAAAGAAAATAAATGATGAGTGCAAACTAGCTAGGAATTTAAAAGCTGACAAGAAGAGTATCTTTAAATCTATGGAAAAGAAGAAAGACGTCAAAGTGAACATCAAAGCCCTTGAGAAAATGAATTTGGGAAACAGTTTTTTTTTAATTCATGCATGAGTGTTCACTGGTGGGGCCATGATTTATAGCCCATCCTTATTTGACTTGATTTGATTTTTTGTCACGTGTACCGAAGTACAGTGAAAAGCTTTGTTTGCGAGTAGGACAGGCAGATCATAGGGTGAACGAAAAAAACTTGGACAGAGGCATACAGGTCACGTAGCACAGGGTGTGTGCTAGGCAAGATCAACATTATTTTAAGTTAGAGAGTCCATTCATCAGTCTCATAACAGCAGGGAAGAAGCTGTTCTTGAACCTGCTGGTGCGTGTGTTCAAGCTTCTGTGTCTTCTGCCTGATGGAAGAGGTTGTAGGAGAACATTACTGAGGTGCAATGGGTCTTCAATGATGTTGACCAGAGGCTAGTTAAAAGCCAAACACATTGTTGTTAGTTTAAACTCACATATAGGTTAGCAGTTTCCTCTCCTAAAGGACATCAGTGTACCAGATGGGTTTTTCCAACAATTGACAATGGTTTCATTATCATCATTAGAGCCTGAATTCCAGTTTATTTAAAAATTGAATTCAAATTCCACCATCTGCCATGGTGAGATTCTAACCAGGTCACCAGAACGTTCTGTGGATCTCTGTAATCACAGCATTGCAAGAATAACACTAGGTCATCACCTGGGGGAGAAGGAAATGGCAGAGGAGTTAAACAGATATTTTGCAACAGTCCTTATGGTGGAAAATACTTCAAGCATCCCATCAACACTAAGGAATATGGGGAAAGGGTTAAGTACCATCACCATTACTAGAGAATTAGAGTTCAACAAATTAATGAGGCTAAAAGCAGAAACAACCCCTGGCCTCAATGGCTTGTGTCCAAGGATCCTAAAACAAGTAGCTACCTACATAGTAGATGCATTGTTTGTAATTTTCCAGAACTCTTTGGATTGTGGAGAAGTACTGGAAGAATTGTAAAACTGCCAATGTGATACCCCTATTCAAAAAGGGAGAGAGGAGACAGGTACCTATAGGCAGATTAACCTAAGATCTATTGTTGGCAAAATATTGGAATCAAATTATTAAGGAAGAAATAGCTGCACATTTGGAAAATATATTCCAACAAGTTAATTTGAAATCACAAGCTTTCAGAAATCACAAGATTTCACCTGATGAGGGAGCAGCGCTTCCAAAAGCATGTGATTTTAAATAAACCTGTCGGACTATAACCTGGTGTCGTGTGGCTTCTGAGAGTAAATGGAGGAGAACCAGTAGATGTGTTGTATTTGGACTTCCAGAAGGTGTTCAATGAGGTCATAGAGTCATTGAGATGTACAGCACGGAAATAGGCCCTTCTGTCCAACACGTCCATGCTGACCAGATATCCTAAATTAATCTAGTCCCACTTGCCAGCATTTGGTCCATATCCCTCCAAACCCTGCCTATTAATGCACCCATCCAGATGCCTTTTAAATGCTGTCATTGTACTAGCCTCCACCACTTCCTCTAGCGGCTCATTCATTGAAAAAGTTGCCCCTTAGATCCCTTTTAAATCTTTACCCTCTCACTTTAAACTTGCGCTGTCTAGTTTTGGACTCCCATACCCTGGGAATACCTCACAAAAGGTTAAGTCATAAATTAAGTGCCCAGAGTGTTGTAGGTGGTATATTATCATAGATAGAGAATTGGTTCATGGGCAGGAAACAGTGATGGAGATAAGGGGTTCTTTATCAGGTTGGTGACCCGTCACCATTGGGATTTCACAGGGGTCAGGGCTGGGACCGCATCTGTATACAATATATGTTAATGGCCTGGAGAAAGGAAGTGAACGTAGTGTTGCCAAATTTGCAGATGACTCAAAAATAAGTGGAAAGGCAGGAGAGGGATACAAATAGTTAACAGAGAGGAATTGATAGGTTAAGTAAAATGTTGGCAAAAGGGGTATAATGTGGGAAAATGTGAAGTTTATTTTGGAAGGGAGAACAAAAATAAAGGATTGCTCAATGGATAAGAATGCAGAAAACGGCAACACAAAGGGACTTGGGGGTATTTGTATATGAAACACAAAACACTAGCAGAGATAGTAAAAACTGCCGATGCTGGAGTCTGAGACAACACAGTGCGGAGCTGGAGGAACACAGCAAGCCAGGCAGGAAGCGAGGAGCAGGAAAGCTGACGTTTCGGGATTTCTTCAGAGTCTTTTTTCTGAAGAAGGGTCCCAACCCGAAACGTCAGCTTTCCTGCTCCTCTGATGCTGCCTGGCCTGCTGTGTTCATCCAGCGCCACACTGTGTTGTTACAAAACGCTAGCATGCAGGGACAGCAGGTCCCCTACTATCCTTACCCCAGGGCTGACCTATTCTTGGCACTGTGGCCCAATCACTCCAAATTCCCCCAATGCACTGATATTCTCAGGTGCTGACACTCTCTCCTTCCCTCCCTCCTCTCCGCTCCGTTTCCCAGCTGAAAAGCCTTCTGCTTTGCAGCCGTTTCTTTTGGCTGGCTACCAACAGGACAACTGTGTGTAAAAGTTTACAAGGATCAGAACGTCCGGGAAGGCCACGTTCCTGGGTTTCCAGTCAGTAATCTTACCGCCTGCTCCCTCTCTCTAAGTAGTAGTTCACCTTTTGCTCCAGAGATGAAGCATTAAACAGTTTTCTCCCTCAATATATGCCTTGTGAATAACAATTAGGGTTGAATTATGCCATTGCTGTTTCAAACTCACTCTTCCCCATGATTTTGAAACTGTGGATCTCCTGACTTTCTTGAATCATCCCCTGCTGCAATCTACAGAAGGTTTAACAAAAACCCAAGCATAGTTTTATGAAAATCACTCCTCCTTGACTTATGCATTTGACTCACAAAGAAGTCACTGTCTATTAACTTGGATGTCTCACTATTTTTGATGGCAGATAAGCTCTTCGCTCTTTCTGATCCAATTATATGCTGAGACACACTTAATTATTTAAAACGGTTGAATTAAAAGATGTTGGGAGTCCTGCAAGGAAATCCCCCAATGGCTGCTGTTCAGGTCGTGCTCAACTTGGCAGAATCACTGCTTTCTCTCGCTGGCTGTCACACCTTTGCTCAGCAACAGAAAGAATTGAATGGACTTAACATCTCTCAACCCTGTCTACCTCATAACCAGACTGAAAATGGCAGCTTGCATCCGAAGGCCAGAGGTAGGCAAACAAATGATACTCTCAGAGCATTCATGTCTTAGTCATCTACAGAATCTCATCAAGCTTCACTTTCCCCAAACACGGTCTTTGTGGGTCGTATTCAATTCAATGTGCTGTGAGCATAGGATTCAGGCTTAGGGTTGGTGATAGCAAAATATTCAGTGAAAGCGCAAGAGTGAGAGAGATTGTAGACCTTAATCCAGCTGCAGAGAATCATAGAATCCCAACAGTGTGGAAGCAAGCCATTTGGCCCATCAAGTCCACACCAACCCTCCGAATTGCCGCCCAACCAGACCCACGCTCCCTACCCTATCTCTGCAATCTT